GCCTTGGGAGGACCGCGGGGGAGGGTCCCCCCGCGGTCCTTTGGAAGCTCCCACCACTCAGCTGGAGGAAAATGCCGGCTAGGGCTTTGCGAGGACCGCGGGGGAGGGCTCCCCCACGGTCCTTCCCAAGCCCCTGCCGATCAGCTGGGGGAAAATGGGGCTATGGGGAAAAATCGCAAAGCGATTTTTCCCCATAGGCAACATCACAATGCGATCGAAAAAAAGCCATTGCTATGCGGATTCATCGTTAAACGGGGTACCTGTTAAGCGAGGCACCACTGTACTTCTTTCCTAGATCAAGATTATCTGCCAGAGGAAATGGTGATGAAGAGAAGAACAAAATTTTAGCTTCCCTTTGGATTGTTCTTCCTTCAGGCAAAAAATTGTGTCTTCTTTACTAAAAGTTATTATTATTAATATTGATGATGATGGATCACTGACATTGCAATTTCAGGGGATGTCAGAGTTGAAATAAAGAATTGGAAAAACTAACAAAATACAGAGACTGGCAACTGAAACTTCATGCTTGTGGTTGAAACACACTTCAGTAGTCTTCGTAGTCATTGGGGCTTTGGGAACAATATCAAGAAATTGCACACAGTACTCTAAGCGGCTGTAGATCTCAGAAATCACACCATCAGAGCGACAAAAGCCGGCAATATTAGGAACAGCATACGTACTGTGCCCGTGTTTAACAGATACTTTGTTTTATTTTTGTTAAAACTTGTATCTGTTATATAATAGCAATCAATGTTTTTATAATTTTGACTGCCTGGTGTTCTTGAAAATAATAACAATAATGATGATGATGATGATGATGATGATGATGATGATGATGATGGTGATGTGTCATCAAGTTGATACTGACTTATGGCAAAACATATTCTTTTTTGTTTTTTTAAGGGAGAGAATACACAGAAGTAGTTTAGCATTCCCTTCTTCTGAGGGCACCCTAGGACTGTACAGCTTGCCCAAGGCTACACAGGCTGGCTTTTCTGGGAGGCACAGTGGGGAATTGAACTCCTAACCTCTGGCTCTGTAGCCAGATACCTACACCACTGAGTTTATACATCCATAATTCTACGACACACTAACTGTCTCCAGAAATTCCCTTATGTTACTTTAAAGTAGCCTTTTCCAAACTGCAGCCTCCATATGTGTTGGACTGGCAGTCT